GGAGTTTTTCCTTCCCACTGTCGCCAAAGTGCTGCTCATAGGGGGTCATATGATTGTTGGGTTTTTCTCTGTATCTATGAAGCGCCTTGAGGCAACTTTTGTTGGGATTTGGCGCTATATAAATAAAATTGAATTGAATTGAATTGAATGATTGCCTATTTACAGTTGATGATAAAATTATTAGTCCCTTCTGTCAAGTGTGAGACTTACGAACTGATTAGCATCAGTGGGGCCAATGATTCTGTGTGAAGTCCACGCAGGAGCTCAGATTCATCCTGGGTCCTTATTTCTTTATACTCGTACGATTTAGTGCTGCCTTACAAAACAGCTTGTCTTGAAATATGTGAGGACTATTTAAGTGTGTAAATGTCACCTGGCTCGAGAGGTCAGAAGAAACAATGTATGAATAGTGCTGCAGCAATGTGTGTTTCATGGTTACTGCGAGACCCACCATGACATGAAGGTAGCTGCACATCTGCAGCACACACTCCAGAGTCTCCATCATTTGCTCTCGGCGGAGTGTGTGGAGCTTGCTGTGACCGAGGGATTCGTTGCTTTCCACCTCACAGATGGTGGCCTTCAGAGCAATCGAAGCACACTGTACCACACTCATCCCTGCAGAAACACAGAGGGCTGCAGGATAATGGTGCTTCTAAGCATAACTGCAAACAGGAAGTGCAGCTTTCAGGTTTTTATTCACTGTGACTGAAGTTTTGTTGTCTTTTGTTCTCGCGTACACTTTACACTCATTTGTGTTAAAGATGAAAAAAGGAAACCTTGTTCTATTCTAGTGGATGACAGTTGGCTAGTCAGTCATCGCTAACCATGCTGTAATGACTAAAGCCATTAAATAAACAAGAGGTCACTGTTTGTGGATTTTAAGCACTGCCAAATGTCTTTCTTTGGCTTTGTTCTACAGCACATGAGAGGAAGCCACGAAGAAAGTGCTGCTGTTTAAAGACATGTTGCTGGCACACTAACATGGAAGATCGTGCAATGACACGTCTTTGGCATCAAAGCTCTTACTTTTCTCTGTGTTGTCTTCTTATATAACCATGTTTTGCATGTATCGTCTCATTATGTTTTTGAAACAGTGATGCACGAATAAAATGATCTGAAAGCTTTAAAGATTTGAGGACTTACCAGAGTTATCAGTAGCTTCGACGTCCACATATATGCCATCCACCATTGCACGCATTAGAACCTGTTAGAAAACATTTGAATACATTTGGATTGAATACAGTAGAAGCAAAAGTTGATCAGCCCAAACTTGACGCCATGCATCAAAGCACAGCCAGAGCTGGGCCAGCAGCACATTACACACACAGGAGCTACTCAGTCGTAGGGCTGAGGCTGCCAGAGGAACCTGGGAACTCTGCGCTGGTGACGTTTATGCATCGCTGCGCTCTAACTTTGCAGAGGCAACGACAGACGGATGTTTCACAAGCTGACTTGTTCAGTGGTCGTATCCTATTACAGCACCACTCTGGAATTCAGTGAGCCCTTTAGCCTGAGCCCTTCTGTCATACATGTTTGTACTGTGAGGACAGACTTTAGAAAAATACGGCAACTTTTTAAATATCTTTAACAATTTGCACAGTGAACTACACAACCTTAATTTTTCATCACAGCTGTTTTCTAAGCTCTGTCTCTGACAGTAACTTGTAATGCTACTCTGACTTGCTTGTAAACTGTGCAGAAAGATGGGAAACAAAAGCAAAAGCCCAACAGCAGACGTGCTGTCACACAGTCAAGCAGAAATGATAACGGCTCTGACCTCCAGGACTCTGATGTAGCCACTCTCAGCGCTGAGGTGGAGGCAGGATTTTCCCGCGTTGTTCGTCTCGTTGACGTTGGCTCCCAGATAGATCAGATCGGCCACCATCAGGTGGTGGTTGTGTTTTGATGCGTAGAGAAGAGGAGTCTGAACAGAGAGCAAAGGAAAGCATGAAGCTATGAACTGAACATGTTGGTGCAGAACGCACTCAAGTCTTTGAATAGTTACCATGAATGTGGCTGCAGAAGAATATCTAGGAACAAGACGTTGTGCAAACTGATTGAAGACTTAGTGGTTACCTATTAATTACATACTGATGGGTAACACCTAATATGGACCTTAACATGTGCAATAACACACAGAACAGTGAAGCTGAACACGTGCAGCTCTGTACGCAGGAGGTGAGAGGAGCGTCACAGGGAGTCATGGTGGTGGGGGTGGTGGTGTGTGTGTATGTGTGTGTATGTGTGTGTGTGTGTGTGTGTGTGGGGGGGGGGGGGGGGGGGGGGGGTGTCAATCATTCTCCACTTAAACCAACGGCAAAAATAAAAAGTAAACGAAACCTTTTTGAAATACAGCGATGAGTCACATATATGCCTGAAGAATCCACGCGTTCTCACTTCCAAAGTGTAACATTTTACGCTAGGTGACAAATCGCCGATATGTTACGCTTCTGCGCACCCAACACCTCCCCAGATTACCAGATCGGAGAAATGAGGAAACATGAGAACCATTTGGAATGAATCCACACGTGTACGTTCGTTTTAGTGAAATCGTTTGGGAAAACAGTATGTAACGTGAAAGTGCTGGGTACGTTTAGGGATAAGGTTATGGTTGCAAGTGACCAATCAGAATGTTGTGACGTCATACTTTTGCGACTTCGGGAAAAACCGGCGTAAAACAAAAAACTGTACTTAAGTTGCGAGAAACCGCCTTTGTCCGCCAATCAACGGACCCTAACCCTGACCCTAACCCTTTAATAAACGCTAAGCAGAATTGATTTTGTCCTTGCAACATTGCAATTTCATAAATGCACGAAGGGGTTGGTGCGCAAAAGAATAACGTCACAATAATGTGATTGGTCACTTGCAATGTTGAACCTGGAACAACACTTTCATGATGATCTGGGAACAACACCAACACGACGATATCAGATCATCCGTCATTCTACTGGACTTCACCCATAACCCAGCGCGTAGCATAAGAACATAGGACGCTCCTCAGGAACGCCGTGGGACGTGACAGATCGTCATTATATTAAGCCTCGGGAGTGAGAACGGGCTGGAAGAATCTTAGTAGAACAGGTGACACAGTATTAAGTTCATATTTTAAACGTGCTTTTCATCTGCACATGGCTAACAGGGAAAACCACGAGGACACATGAGCTAATACAGGATTTTAAAGATCAATAGCAATGTTTGGTGGATTAAAAATCTGATATTTTGATGGCTGATATTTTTTCTTTGAAACAGATGAAACATTATCATCACCTACCATGTGTTTTACATCAGCTCGGATTCGCTTGGATGAGCTACTACTTGTTTTTTGTAAGTGTTCTAAACGACAGGTTGTCAAGAGGTAAATTGCAGATTTCCCCCTGTTAGACAAACTGTCAACACTGTTATTAATCCCAGTACTGCTGATAAACTGGTCACGTTGTCGTGTTAGCTAACGTACTGGTTACAGGCTTAAAAGCAAAGAAAAATGAAGCCTGACATGTTGCCAGGCTTGTAAAACACTGGAGGGAAATGTTGTACAAAGCAACAGATATTCATAAAAATAGAAATAAAAAAATAGAAATGTAAATCTGTTTACCATGCCATCTGAGTCTTTTAGGTCCAGGCTGTTGACTGTGGCCATCCTTTTAGCAATGGCAAAGCCCAGAGCCCTCTTCCCAACACATGCTACTCTGTGAAGAACTCTGGAAGGAGAAACACAAATATTCAAGTTTTTACTGAAACACGGCTACAGAAATGGGTAAAGGTGGGTTATGAACACTTTATTTGTTTGTGTATTAAGATCTCCATCAGCTTCTGCAGCAGCTACTCTTCCTGTGGTCTGACAAATTCTTTAACAAAAAACGTTTTCATACACCAACATCGAACACATGAAATACAATAAATGCAAATGTAACTGGAGCTGTGTCTGTGTACACTGAAAGGTTGACTTGTGTCCAACGACTTCTGCACATTGAGCTTTGTGTCCTCCTTGCAGCAGACTAATTAGAGCAGTGCCCTGGTGAACGTAAGTAACAGCAGAAGACAAAAACCGAGCGTGAGTTTCCAGCATGTCAAAACGCCCTTTGAAAAGAAGGAACTTAAATGTTCAAAGACAACAAATGTGACCAAACTAGTTCAATCTGGTTTTGCAAGTCAGTCCTTCAGCACAGCTCTGAGACATCAGTTACAGGATCCCGTAAATACATGGTTGAAAAAACAAGAGAGAGTGATGAAAGAAGAAGATCTCAGGAATCTTTGCCAAACAGAAATTTGCTGGCAGCTTGTTGACTTTGCAGAAGACATAAAATTTGCAGTTTAGAAAGCACCATCTGGATTTGTTAAAGGTGAGATCACAAGCTGAAATTAGACAGTGGCTCTGTGTACCTTCATGTCAACACAATGATAACAAAACAGTACATTATGTTAGTGTAGCCAACAAGCTCAAACCTTTATTTTGAAAAGGGCCCATTACCTCAATACAAACGAATGCAGATTTTTTTTAAAATGACACATTTGTTGATTTTCCCAACAGTGGGTCTATCTTTATTTATTTAGTCATGTCTGTGCTTTTTGCTGCTAAGACAAGAGATTTATATTTATCTGCCAAGCAGAGTGAGCGAGTATTCATCCAGAATTATGCCAGAAGCTTATTAATGTCTGCCAAACGGATGTCACTGAGGGTGAGCATGCTATGGGACATTTATCTAAGTATTAATGGGGGTATATGCATATTTTGATCCTGTGTGGATTAGAGAAAATCCCAAATAAATTCAAACGTGTGTGCCCAGCTCTTGTTTAAATGTAACTGTTAATTCAAAAATCAATAGTTCAAAAGAAATCATTAAAAGCCCAGAACGTCCATGACATTCCTGCCCAGGATGCAAACTTTTGACCACAGCTGTGCATGCACAGTTTTGACTGTCAGCTCCAGTATAAGGTTCTCTGCACCGTAAAAAATAAAAAATAATACCATACCAAAATAACAGAAAATAACAGAAAATAACTTTCCCATGAAAATATGGTCATTTTCAGTAATGACAATACAGTTTGTTGCCCTAACTTTACATGGCATTCTGCCTTTTTCACGTGCTTTAAACATTAAATTAGGAACATTTTAATGTGATTAAACAATGAAATTACCTATAAACAAGGTCAATGAATGCGGCAATATGAACAATAATACTTAAAGCCTCTGTCAGTGCTGCTCAGGGCGGCTGTGGCTACAATGTAGCTTCATCACCAGTGTGTGGATGTGTGTGGATGTGTAAAGCTTTGGGGTCCTTAGGGACGAGTAAAGTGCTTTACAAATACAGGCCATTTACCATTAAATGTACAGAAATATACAGTTAACAGTTGGTTTAAATAATAATGGACTGCATTCATATCGCGCTTTATGAGACCCTCAAAGCGTTTTATAATTCCACTTTATAATCCCCCTCTGACCATCACCAGTAAAAATGTAAAATCAGTCTATTTATGTGAATTTAATGGTATTCAAGAAGAACAGTACAAAACTGTAAAATACACAGTAAAATACTTTTATATTACATTTTCTGGAATGACTGCGTGTGCAGGACCCCCAGCTGTTGGTGCGAGGTGAGAGACAGTGGTCATAAACGATTTAGCCTACCTACCACTACAGGAAGACAAACGAGTCGCAGTATCGTCTGGTTCCTTTTTGACTCTTAATTCTTCAGTCGTTTTTATATTTGTAAAATAACTGTAGCATTAGGCTAATGACATGTATTGGCTAGCTTAAATGCTTTAGTTTGTTAAAAAGTTCAAAGGTAATCTGCAGCCGTGTAATAACGACGGCTGACTAACCCCGATCTGGTCCACACGAACAATTTATACTCTGCGCTCTTTTTTGAAATTGTTCTGGTCAGTAGATGCTCTGCTAGGATAGATGTATGAGACTTAATGTTCGACAACATTTCATACTGTACATTATGCATACAATACTTACGTCCTGCCATGTTCATCAGCGGACAGCAGTTCTGCATCGCAGACATCTCTCAGCTGGCCCTCCTCTTTCTGCAGCTGTGTCCAGAAGAAAGCGCTGTCGTTCACGTCATATTCACTGTAATTCCTGGGACCAAACCACTCCTGCCTTTGTTCACCATTTTTGCTCACAATTCCAAAGATCGAGGGCGGGCAGGTGGGAAACATGAAGCCAGGAGGGGTCTGGTGGTACTCTGCTGTGCCTGGAGAGCAGGTCATGTAGGACGGGGGGCTGGGAATGATTTCATCGTACTCGTCGCCGTTAAATCCTGCAGCGAGCGGAGACAGCATGGTACATCAAGGGTGGAAGTCATTGCCAGTCACAGTCTCACTTTAAGGAGTAGCTTTAAAAAACATATTACCAGTTGGAGACAGCTGAGGAGAAACTGGTGGACCAGTGGGGGACAGGGGTGGGGGAGACAATGGGTTTCTGCTGCCAGTCCTGAGATCTTCTTCCAGTACTTCGACGATGATTGACAGCTCCTCCAGGCTTTGTGACGGCTGTTGTGTCTGAAAGCCAAAGAGTACTGCGGAGTATTTGAACTGCTCTTCAAAATGACATGTAGATTACAGCATACCAAAGCTTTGCACTTTGAAACCTTCTGGGTGGAGCAGAGTTCTGTCTTTTATAACACTGACCTTGACGGTTCGGCGCCTGGAGCTCGTTTTAGCTCGTTTTAAGTCTCCTGAGGAACAAAGAGTCAAGCATAAGTCAGCACACCTCTACGCAGGATGTTTGGCTTCTTCTTAAGCCAGGCCCAAAAGCCTGCATGACACCGTAACACCCCCAAACAACACTATAAATCTGCCACGACGATGGAGGATGATGCACATCCATCCAACATAGGCTAACCCCACCACTGCCAACATTTTCATGCAAAGAAGCGAACCAACCCAATCACACCACCTCCTCCGTGGTGCAAACTGCCGCGTTAAATAAAGATTGCACTGACCTTTGGCTGTTTTGCTGCATCTCTCCTGCATTCACACAGTTGGATGATGAAGGGATAAAAACAAAGAGTGCGTCAGTGGGAGGTGTTCTCTGGGATTCTTCACACACCCATAAATCCACGTATGATGTGTCATATTAATAGATTGTGTTGTTACAACAGCTAAAAGATGAAAAACAACTTCGCTCCATACAAAAAAACAAAACAGGACAAAAGGAAAACAGTGCACGTGAAGAATTACATGATACAAAAAAGTGAAACTGTGAATATAAATACTATACAGAACTTATACTGAAGTCCAATTTTTACCTATTCATGCAGTATTTTTTTTAACCTACAGTGAACCTAATGCAAAGCCACTTTCACTCTTTAAGCATGATTAACAGAACCTTTATTTTCAGCTCATAAACAGCCAACACCACCATCGTGCCAACACCACCATCGTGCCAACACCACCATCGTGCTGTCTGAGATGTGAGAGCCCGTTCTCACTCCCGAGGCGTAACATGCCGACGTTTTGTCACGTCCCGCGGCTTTCCTGAGGAACGCGAAAGGAGACCTTCGGCGTCCTTATGGTACGCGGCGGGTTATGGCCGAAATCCAGTGCAATGACGCTCCCGCGGTAATAGACGTTCCAGCCCTGTATTCCAGCCCTAACCATAACCTTTTTCCTGATCTTAACCAGGACTTTAATGATGTTAAATAGCGTGTTTCTAAGCGATTTGAAGAAAAAGAGCGAACATGTGTAGATTGAGTCCATACGGTTCTCATATTTCCTCATTTTCCGAGGTCGTCATTTAGGAACGTGGTGGGTAGCCGAAAACGTAATATGTTGACGATTTGTCATCTAGCGTAAAATGTTACGCTTTGGGAGTGAGAACGTGTTGGATGTGAGCTCACGCTGCAGACGATACATTTGATCAGTTTCCGGCTGCACATTATGAACACAGTCAGTTCTCTACCTGAGGATAAAACGGGTGTGATCGGCAGCCGGTTGTGTGCTGCTGCCTGCAGTTATCAGTTATTAAGACGCTGTTGTGATAATCTCACACTTGATGACTGAAGCATGTCACATGTCACATGCACTTTGCTATTTTGCCTTGGCTTCAGGTGGTGCAGCGTTTGGGGGAACTTGTAAACCTCACTATGATTTCAGAAAACACAAGATTTCCTTTTCCAAGCAGTGAAATGTGTTTCTGTGCGGCTGTATCTTTGTCACACTTCTATTGCACGTGTGTGTTTTGAACCTCAGAAGCCTACCTTCAAATCTTGGCCACAGCCTTGAGTGAGGCGGATGTTTCTCAGCAGATCCTTTACTGGCATTCTGACACGGACTCCGAGGTAGACCTTGTCGTCACCATAGATGGAACGTCTGGCACCTGGAGGAAAACATGAAGCATCAGACTGCTGTGGCACCACGACACAGAACCAGCTCTCTACAGAGCAGCGCTGATTTTCTAACACTGCAAAATAACTCAGCACTGCTCTGTGTTAGTCATTGTTAATCTTCAAAACAGACTAGGTTACTCTTAAAAAGATAACACCGTCAAAGTGATCATTTAACACTCAACAGTGTTATATTTAACATAAAATGACTTGTAGCTGTAAGATGTGGCCGTGCTTCACCCACTGCACTGACTATTTCAGCAGTAACACTGACAGGAGAAATACTCTGAAGGTCAGTGTATCATCAACACAGTATAGCGTCAGGTTTAAATGACGGGTAACTTCTGCATTACAGATGCCAAAAAAGTCAACAGAAGCTGTAACATAAACGCCTGCATAGAGTCGAAGAACTTTTCAAAAATAATACCGAAATGAAAAGAGCTCAGTCAAAGAGAAATAAGAGCAGCTCAAGTAAATACAATCAAAGGAAATATTTTTTTAAAGGCTAAACATAGTTAGATAATACAATAAAAGAGAAAAAGCTCAATAAAATGCATTGAAGCAAACAAAATAAATAAATAAATAGCATAACACAGACTGATAAATGTAAAGTGGCTCACAGTGTAACCTGTTGTGCGGCACTGCACAAGCTCAGCTCCCTGCACTTCCATGCACACAGAATGAAGCAGGTCCCATTTAA